TTAATTGGCCACAAGATTTTTTAAAATAATCAGCCTATGTGAACCAAAGTCTTACCAGCAAAAAAGGGAGCTAAGAGGAAGACAAGGAGCCATTTAAAACTTCATGAAGGATGTTCAATTTTCACAAAAAAAATGGCAGATGGATGTGTAAAAGGCAACTGCAAAAATCATTGTTTAGTATGTTCTGATTAATCAGATGATGTCATAATTGCATATGAGCAGGCATCTTGAGTTTAGGTTGCCGCTTTTAGTCAAAAGGGATTTTAAAAAGAAGAGGAACAAAAAGGTCATTCCTAATTGTTCTCGACTTACAAGTTTTTATTTTTGTTGGGAATAAAAAAAATGCTGAATTTCATAATTAGGAAATCGGTGGTGAAGCGGATATTTAAGGCGTTTGAGGGAGCGGCGGTAAAATGGTAACGTCTCTGCCTCGCAATGTTCGAGGTCCACCACAATCCATGCTTGTTGCTTCAGGAAGACGTAACATTACCAAGCCAAAAAAAAAACAACCCGAAAACAACAGTTGCACGAAGATCCTAACAAAGGCAACTCTAAAATTTTCTACTGGCGACTTGGGCGCTAATCGATGGTGACGTTTTTCAAAAATTTGCCTGTGGCGCAAAAGTTTTTAGTCAAGTCACGATCCTAAATTGTTTTGGTATCGCTCGAGAAATTAATTTGGTCAAACTAAAAAGAGGTCGACAATTTTTTAAATCAGCCCCCGGCCTCGGGGAAACACTATATCCACCGCTGGGCACAACAGCGGATCTCCGTTAAAAGCTGAACAGCTCGTATGTTAGTTCTTAACCTTGAATCGTCCTAGCGGAACTAGAAGGAATTGCTCAATTATAGTGTCTGTTCAATTGAACACTCTAGCAGCTGTGCAACTAGCAGCCGCTAAGGTGCATCTAGTGAGAGGATTACATTGCGTCAAAACAAAACATCAAGCATTCATGCCTTGCTCTTTGCTCTCAAGTTCATGGTTGCTCCGGTTGAATCTGCAGATTCTGCAATTTGGGCGCGATGATCTGAGAGTCATTGGTTTTTTATTACATTTCTCCCCCTTTTGATTCGAATTGAACAACATTGAATAAAGAACAATTAAATGAATAAAACAAGAATAAGCTTTACGAATATGATTGTTTTCGATAACGAGTCAATGAACATGAGTCATGTGCTTTTTTGTTGCGACTGACTTGATGGTTGTTGAAGATCATTTATCTTTGTCCAGCTGACTCGTGTTCGTTGAGTTAATAAAATGTATTAAATTAACAAGTATTGCTCTTTTTTGAATACATCAGAACCTTTTTTTAAAGATTTTTTTTGTGCAATCAGTTCTGCGTGTTAGTACTTGTTGAGAATGAGTCGACGAAGAAAGATAGATTGTGTACAGCACACTCCTGTTTCTTGCTTAATTTGGTGCTAAAGAAGAGAAAATGGTAGTTTATTAAAGCTGCCGATCAAAATATATGACACAAAATATATATAACACATAGCTATGAAAAAATATATAATAAATTTATCACATAAAATCAGTAAAGTTTTCCTCACGCTTCGGCTTTTCGCCTATCATTTTCAGCTTGGAAAACGTTAGTTTGTATCTGAATCAGATTTAAGTTGATATCTTTGAAGTGGCTTTTTTGCATATCCATTAAATTTTGGGTACAAGTGTGCTAGTCGGGTTCCCAAAACAAAGTATGAAAGAGAAGCCTGCAGTGAGATTCAATGGATAATAATCCATTATAATCGATTTTCGTGGTTATATCGAAAATATCGGCACAATAATTGATTATTATTACATCTTGGGGAACAATCAATCGATTTTAATTCACTATAAACCATTATTTTTAGAGAAATTAAACCAATTATAAACCATTTAAAATCGAATATAATGGATTATAATGCATTATAGTCAGTTTATTTTTTTTACATTTAAAATTTACACATAAAATTACTCACATTTAATCAAATTTTGCAAAACACATTTTCCATCACATTTTAAATCCAGGTCTAACCCAAAAATTCTTGTATTCAACCAAATATCCAAGTTTTAACTAATAGACTACCGTAGAATTTCCTTCAAAGCCCGAATTACATTACAATGACAAACTGTGTTTTTATTGAATTGTAAGCGGATTCCGCAACAAGGACGCTTCCTTTGTTCTTTCAATTTCTTTGATCGTTCCGACAAAATATTACTATGCTTAAATACTTTCTCTGGAAGCCAGGAACATACAAACACAAAATTAAGCGCCTATCCAGTGCAAAGTTTGTCTAGTAACTTATTTTGAAAAAATATTCCCTATAAACTATGCCTTTCTAACAACGCACAGAATGTATAGCATGATGTGGAATAAAAAATTTAAAACAGTTTTTTATGCAGTCAGTGCTGATTTAAGTTAACTGGACACAACGAATCACCTTGGAAAATGAACACTGGTTTTTCTTAAATTGGTTTAAGATAGACAAAAATGAAAAGAACTAAGGTTGTTTAAATTTTCGGCAGAACTAATATGGTGCATTTTTTTGAAATTCGCAACGAAAGTTTTACCCCAAAAAGGATAATTTTGGTTTTTTCCAATTGATCAAGAATAACGCTAAAACTACAGATTTAATTAATGAAAACAATGTTAACAAAATAAGCCCAACCCAATTCTAGAAAAAAAAATATTCCGAAATATTTCGGAAAACGTTTGAAATTTGTCTTTAAGCAGTAAATTTGATGTTTAATTTAGTAAAAATGACTTTTTGTGACTATTGAGTGCAAAGATATTTTGTTACGTTGTAATTTGGGAAACTTAAGCTTTTTATATTTTTGTTGGGCTGTGTAAGAAGTTTTGATCTAACTTTCTCATTCAGTTAACCAGGTAGTTTCAGCGTAACTTTTGGAGATCCATTTTTGGTGACCCATTTTAGGAGTAAAGTTTTTTAATGCAAAAATCAAAAATTCTACATATTAAATCTGGTGCAAATCATCATGATTCCAAGTAAACTTTTTTCTTCACTTTTTGTCTAAATTTGTCACAATTTGAGAAAAACGCGTTTGAAATTTCAATTTTTGTTCGTTTTGTCTGGATAATTTAAATAAGCATGGTAAAGTGAAAAACAAAAATTTTCAAGTTTTGTTTTTGGTGGAACAATTAACATCTGTTAAGTGATCTTCTTAATTTGTTAAGTGATCTTCTTTGTAGACATCTTGCCCAAGCTGAAAAATCTTAAAGTAAAGTTTTTTTTGCATTACAAAATCTGCAGATTTTTTTAAAATTAATTATAACAACTGATAATATCAATCTGACCATAATGAAGAACTATAACATGCTTATCCTATCACTCATTTTCTCCATAACGATTTGCAAACTCGACAATTCATTCCTCATAATTTTACGTTTTTCGCACCAATTTTATCAAATAGCGTGTTAAATGCCATGGAATCTGGATGAAATACTTGCACAGAAATTTGAATTAATGTCTAAATACGTTTGACAGATGCTTAATTAAGAGAACGAAAAGTAAGAAGTTTACATTGAAGTCGAGGTAAACATGCGGTAAAAAAAATTGGCTAAACGAATTCACTGCCTTTTACTACTAACGTTACTTTTGATAACTTGAAGGAGAGTGACAGCAGCATTGATAGCGGAAAGCACCTGGCTAATTAATATGGAAGCTCGCAATTGGTTCGAGAATAATTATCTTCAAATATCATTAAAACATTCAGATCAAAATATTGAAAAGAGACCAAAAACGTTCACATCTGATTATTAGAGAGGCAAACATTTGAAAAATAGCACACCAGTTCGAAAACTACACTTTCAAGTTTTGTTTCATCCTCAAGAACCAGAATCGATATGGCAAGAATACCTTATAAACGAACTTTTGATTAACCAATATTTGAAGCTGTAGAATCTCAACCGGTTGGGTAGTGATAATCTCTTTGTCTTTCCATTTTGGTAGTATTGTCGTTGGACTGGTCTATTCACAAAACCGAGCAAGTTTCCAGAAATAAACGGATCTTAAAATCTTAAACAGTTGTTTTCTAATTCTTTCCAAACAATTATACCAAGCTCAAAACACTGTGATAATTTCATGTCTTGAGGCAGGGGCGGATCTAGGATTTTCTCAAGGGGGCGGATTTTCGAAAAATTTTCGAAAATTTTGTCGATCTTTTTTTAAGTCCACCAAATTGATTTTTCGAGCTCTCCTAAAGCACAAAAAAACAGGCCAAAAAAGGCGGGGCACTTTTTGGGCACTTCTTGGAAAATTTTAGGGTCAGTCAGCCAAAAGTGGATATCTCAAAATAGTAGAAATGGGGACCCTTTGGGTCGGCAGGGGGTAGAGTCCCTGAAAGGAGGCGTCCGCCCTCCCCTCCCCCCCCCCCCCCCATATCCGCTGACGTCTTGAGATCTAAGTTAAAGTAAGAGTAAAAAAAGGAAATAAATTTGATTTTACGGTTTTTTATCCACACATTTAACTTGAGTTAGATCTCGCAAAACAAAAAAAGAAAGCGCAAACGCACAGAATTATGAACCTTTTTCCAAACAAATACCGATTTTCGATGTTCTCAAAAATTTTTACTCGCTCCACATCAAAAAGATGAGATGTTTATGATTTAATTTTTTTGGAGAGCAATTATCAGAACCGATGAGTTTAGTAATCTCGTTATCTTTCTGCCTGAAAAATTTGGTTCAAGTCTCAATCAAACCAGCATAACCATTTTTATGTTTTAGCGATTCTAAAATGGTTCACTAGCTTCTCAAAAGTGTAATTACTAACCAAAAACTTGTGGAGGAAAAACAATTTTTTTGTTTGAGAGTAAAATATATTTTTTTTCTTGTGCAGAGAAGTTGATAAGTCTTTTGAATTTTTTCGCGGACAAAAAATACTTCGCGAATGAAAAAGTGTTGAGCCAAAAATCATGAAAAAACTGCGCACAAAACTATGCGATAGTACATAAGTAGCTAACATTGATTTAACTTAAGTAATTTGAACCTGCTTAACTTGTCTTGTCTTATCTTGTGCTTTTTTGTTGAACTTTTCTTGATATGTACTTTTTTTGTGCTCTTGTTCATTCAACTTTCTATAACACTTTATATAAACCGTTTTCAGACCTAAATTTGAACCAGCGTTCATTTTGTTTATATGATCATGTAGAAGTTTGAATTAAACTCAAAAACAATTTTCACTACGCTTTAAAAATTGGCCTACTTGCGTTTCAATTCATCCCAAAACTTGATCCACCGCAGAATAAGGTGTTAAATTCTTTTCATTCGGTACTCATATAACTCGTTAGAGTACTTTGTTTTTTATTACAGTGCTTAATCAAAAATTACTATTTTGTTTTACATTTTAACTCTATTTTTGTCTTTCTATGAACAAAAAATTTCAAGTGAATGCAGACACTCTTCTAAATTGTTTCATTTTCTACACTTTTCGTGATTTATCTTTCGTTATTTCTGAAAACTTGCTTTAATTTTTTCTGAAGTTGAAATTCATCAAATGTAAGTAAAATTTATCAAGAAAAAAATAATGGATATCAAATTTTCAAAGCTTTATATCTTTGAAGTTTTTGGAGTAAATTAAGGATCTAGTTAACAATCTTCATCCTTTCAAGAAAGGGGGAGATTGTTAAGTAGATCAAAATGGTTGATTTTTCGCCCAATCAGAATGCAGCAAAATAGAATTCTCAATAGAAAACTCAGTACTAATTTACTTTATTTATTTATAGGGGTGAAGATTCTTAAGTAGATCCCATAGTTTAACCTGTCAAAAAAAAACAAGATTAAACAGTGGTCTTAATAAAACAATCTGAGTTTGTGGCATGCTTAATAACTGTTTCGGAGACGTTTTTTCTTTCTTAAAATGTTCACATTTTTTACGTACCATAGGGAGGAGATTGTTAAGAAGACCCTAAATTAATATAACTCATTGTTCCGTCTTTCGATACGAAAGTAACGGAATATTTGTGCTCGGGGTGGGTTTTTTTTTTCTTCAGACAAATTTTGACTTTTTAACTAGCCGTTTTTGACGGAATTTTTTTTCTATCATTCGAAAGCTATTGTTTTCCTGAGCTTGAATTTGAAAAGATATTTTACCTGTGATCATTTTTCGTAAAGTTATGGGAGTTTAAAGATTGCCATTTTGGCCAATTTGGGACAATTAACGCGCGATAAAATTCACGCTATTAACGCGTAAGCGATATTTCATCCGTCTTAGAAATCGTTCCAAATTGGTTCAAGGAAGCTTATATGCCATAATTGATTTGTTAATAGGCGCAAAATCTATCACTTTATTATTAATATGACGTGTGGGGGGATGTTTTTACATAAAATCTCAATTTTTTTAAAAATTTTTTTTAATGTTTTTTATATTGAAAATTTTCATCTTATTAATGCTCCATAGACTTTAAAAGGTAGTCGGAACTTTCAGGGCTTTGCCCTGATACGAGCAGTCTTGTTTAGCCTTAAATTTAATTGGATACCTTTTTAAAGAGAAAGAATTATTTTTTTTGTAATAATGCGGTCGGAGTTTTCTGTGCTACTTGCAAAGCACCAGTGACTGTCATTACAAATTAAAACAGCAAACTAAGTCGTAGCCTTTGAGACGTTTTAACAGCATGGTTTTGTTCTATTGTGCATCACAAATTAGAGGGAAATATATGTTCCGCCTTTCAACAAAAGTGATGAATATGCTCGGTTTTTTTTTATTCAGACCGGTTTTATAAAAAGTAGACTGCATATGGGCTTTAATCTATATGGGCTTCGAACTTCGATTTGATGGTTGCTGCTCGAACAATACTTGAATAGTTTGCTTCAATGCTCGAATTATTTTTGCGTGGAAAACTATCCGCACTCATAATCATTCCAAATTCAATTACGGCAAGGTAATTGGTCTTATTAATTCCATAAATGACTCAAATTTTTTGACACTTTGATATTATCAGCTTAACAATTGTTGTTTGTCAATATTGCATCAATTTGTCAGCCAAAAACAATTCGAGATCAATTAATGGGCAACGGAACATTCAGGGCAATGTCTTGATAGGAGCTCTCTTGTTTATTCTAGTGGTTTGATTAAACTAATTGAGATCAGAGTTTATAATAGGAATTTCGGCGTAGAGAAAATGATAATGGTTGGGCTTTCCCGCACAGAGCGCCCATGGATCATAATCAATTATTATGTCATAATATGGTTGGCATCTATAAAATGAAAAAAAAAATCAATTATAATCCATTAAAAATGGATTATAATCGTAATATATTTTTTTTCCAATATATTCCATTATGATCGATTTTAATCCATTAAAAATGTATTATGATCCTAATTTTTTTTATGCCAAATAAATCCATTATAATCGATTATAATCGATGATAATGAATTTTTTCGAGGGGTTTTTTCATAAAATAATCTCAATCAAAATATCATTCGAGGGTTTCAAAATTATCTCATTTCATGTTTATTGCAGTTGCTACGTATTACGTTTCATGAAATGTTACATTTCAGAATAAAGTTTAATTATATATTTTTTTCTCTGTTTTTCTAATTCATCGCAGTTTAACACTTCATTTTACTGTTCATTTTTTAACACAACCCCCAGAACCCCCCGACCCCCACTCCCCCCAGTTAACCCCCCTCTCACCATTTGACCCCCACCCCCAGTTTACCAGTTTATCCCCCCCCCTCGGTTTATTTACCCATCCCTCCAGTGTATGCCCTCCAGCTTACACCCCACCTCCAGTTTACCCCCATTTTACCCTACCACTTCAGTTGGGGGGGGGGGGTGGGGGTAAGAAAGCATGAGGGGGCAAGGTGATGACGTTTATTTACCCCCCGGTTTATACCCCCCAGCTTAACCCCCTCCCAGCTTACCCCCCCCCCCATATACCCTTCTCCTTTAGCTGGGGAGGGGGGGGGGGTAAAAAACATGAGGGGTGAGGAAATGACTTCGTTGAGACATGGAATTTATTAAAAGACATGGCCTTCATTTCGCAAATTTCTCGCAATTGCAAAACTTTACAAGAATAATTGAATTTAGTTCTAAAAATAAAATGAAGTATAATCGGTTATAATGGATTATAATAGATTTTTGTTTCAAAAACAATTGATTTTAATGGTTTATCTTGGCAAAAATAATCGATTTCAGTGACAAAAACATTGGATTATAATCGATTATAATGAATTATAATGGATGATTTTTTTTTCAAAAAGAATCGATTATAATAGCAATATAATCGATTTCGTGGTCTGAATTTTACATCTGTAATGGGTTATAATCGATTATTTTTGTCTCAAGAATCCATTAAGATCGATTAGAATCCATGGGCGCTCGGTGCCGGTTTATACAGAAACATTCACTCAAATTAATTGAGTACTTTCGTAGCGAAGATAGAAATCGGCAATATGCCACCATACAATCATCGTATTACATCTTAGCTACGATTTAGCTAGACGCTCTTAAATCGTAGATAGGCTATTTCGAAAGCGTTAACAAGTACAGTAGACTAAAATAAGGACTAATTTTGAGTTAGCTGTAAAATCATACGCGGTGGTACAACGAAAAAATGCAAAATTCTTGCCTCCATTGTTAGATCTGTATGCTACATATCAAAAACGAAACTTTTTGCAATAGAAATTTTTTAAATAATTTTAGAGGCCAGTTTTTGAGGTTCTGGATGGATTTTTGCAATCACAAACCAAAAGAATTCAAGCAAACAAAGCCAATTGCTCTAAAAGAAGTAGAAAAAGAAGAAAACTTGCCGCAATGTGATCAAATTTCAAACCCCGAATTGAATTCAAGTGCTAGCTTCCAACAACACTTTCTCGAAATTTGAACAAGAATTAAAAATCGAGTTCAACGTTGATCAGCAGTCTACTTTTGTCACAATCTGTGATAACGCGACTGGAGTGATTGCAAATGAAAACAGCAAAAAAGAGTCTACGCCAATGATTAACGAAATTTCTGACAGGGAAGAGTTTTTAAAAAATCTGTCCGAACTGACGCAAGAGCTCGACAATCTAGAAATCCATTGGCCTGGAGATGCTGTAAAATTGTTCAACGACGATGATGCTTTGAAAAAGTTTATGGAACACCAGTACCCAGACTGGAAGAAGAGCGGGCAGACAACGTCCACACCCTGTGTGAGAATCCCTCAAATAATAATTCCAAACAAGCAGCTGGGTAAAAAGTTGCAGATACATTACAGAAATCTTGAAAGAGGGGATATAGGCGAGAGCAAATTGTACAAGCTGTTTGTCAATGAAGTTTCAACGGATGATTCGGGAATCATCATTTTTCCGAATGTAGACGGAAGCCACATCTTTAGACAGAAGGGACCTGGTAGCGTTGAAATTGACATGTTAATTGCACATCCAAGAAAAGGAATTTTCGTGTTTAACGTAAAAAACGAAAAAAAATTAAATTTTCGAAAACTTCAATCGCACATAAAAAAACACGGACTTTGTGCGCTTCTTACTGTGTTACAATATTAACTCCAAAGAGTCACTGGATAGCGTGATTAATGAAGTTCCGATCCACGCAGTCCTTTGCTACCCTCCTGGTAAAAAAGAATCAATTCAAAAATACCTGAGTGATCGGGTTTTTGTTTTTGATCAATCACATTTCAAAAAATTCGCTCAACATTGGAAAGAAACACTGAAAGACATTCGCGATATGAGGCAAACCGAAAAATTTGACACATTAGTTGCCCGCCTTGTTGCTTTGAATTCCAAGAAAGGAGCCAGCACAGAAATTCATCAAAAATTTCTGAATGACATTCAGTCTATTCGAGTAAACACAAGCGAACTAGAGCCTTGGCTTGAAAAACAAATTGAAAATTTACCAGAAAACGATCCATGCAAAAAATCTCTCATAGAAGCAGAAAAAACAATATACAACCAGTCGAAAAACAAGAAAACAACTGTAATACTTTGGACAAAAGAACAGTTGGAGGTAATTTGCAGAGTTTTCAAAGGGATTATACTGCAGTCAAATGATTCAAACAAGTACAAATCTCTACAAATAAACGTAAGAGGAACAAAAGGCTCGGGAAAGACAATGCTGATGATCTATTTGGCCCGATTGATCAATGGCAACATCATTCAGACGGGGAGAACAGATAGTAAAGTAGTTATATTCGATGGGTCTTGCTTTGGAGCTGCGATTCTGTTTTTACAGCTGAAGCAAACGTTGTATAGATCAGGCATTGAATTTTGGACGGTTGAGGATTTCTTTGAGAAAATTGACGATATAGGGAAAGGCATTGTTTTTATAGACGAAGATCCTCTAAACTACCCCAAGATGCAAAACCTGCTCTTATTTCTTCACATTAAAGGTGTTAGTTTTTGCATTTTTTCTTCAGAAGAGCCAGTTTTTACGGCTTTGGGCCTTCACAAAATTGCTTTCACTGAGTTCATCCTCTCACATACATTGAGGTCCACAAAACAACTCCAGTGTTTTTCCCGTAACTGTGTCAAAAGTACCAACAGTTCTATGGATTTCCGTGAAATATTCGGGGAGCCATCCCATAATCTTGACGGGACGAATGTACCAGAAATAATTCTAACCCACGATTCTACAATGGAACCGTTTTACGAAAAGAGTGTCCAGACAGTGATGAAGTACGCTGCATTTTCGAAAACTATTTCCAGCATTCTTGTTATTATCAATTTTTTATCTCCAAAAAGTCAAATGGCAATCATATCTCTTTTACGAAAAGAAAAAAATGCTTTGCGTTCTTTTACTTATGAAATAGTTCTTGACGATAACGATGAAAAGTTACCAATTATTCAGTTGGAGTCAACCGACTCAGTTTGTGGAAGCGAGTTCGGAACTGTTGTTGTACTGCTGGAAAAAATGGTGGACCTATCAAGTGAAGAGTTCGGAAGAAAATTTCGAGTGGCAGTGACACGTGCCACAACCTACTTGGCCATTGTTGTCGCAGGCACTACATTTTTTGATTCTCCACTTCAAGAAGAAGAGATTTTGGGTGCAACCCGAACTCTGTGAGGCTTTCTTTGCTTCTTGTTAATGTTAAAGTGTTAAATTTCAGAAAGTTGAATTTTTTAGTTTTTCTTGAAACAAAAACTAAAATTTTATAACTTTTTTGGGGAAAGCAGTAACCTAAAACACAGAACATTAAAAAAAAAAGTTTAGAAACTTTTTTCAAAATTGGTTCTGACAGGGGCTCAAGGCTCAAAACTTTCACAATAAAGCTGAGCTCATTACTTTAGGATGACTGTCGAAATCCGACTTATCTTTAAGGTGACCCAAAAAACTCAACAAAAAGTTGCAGCCGAAAATGTTACCTCAAGTTCGACTTTTCATTGACAAGAATTTTCAAGTTCGACTTTTCATTTTGGTAACATATGATAAACGTTGCCTGTTTTGAATGGTGGGCAAAAATAGTTTTGTTGTTACGACCGCTTCACTGAAAGTATCTTGCTGTTCCTCTCAATAAATTAACCTCTAACCGACCTACACCTTCATTATTTCGATTGTCTATTAACGTGTCTAAAATCATTGTATTAAGAAAAACAAAAAATACTTTAAACCCAATGCCTCACTCACACATACACACACAGACAGTCAAGCGCTATCTCTAGAACTAAGTAACTTTTTTGGCATCTACAACCTTAAATGTGGATTTTTTTGCTGTTTCAAAATTGAATGATTTCCCAAATCGAAAACTTTTTCCCCTGCTGCTGCGAAATATGATTCTGCTTAAAGGAGTTTGTTAAACATGTTTAAAGTTCGCGAGCTATTCAATCATTTTTCAAATAAAAAGCTACAAAAGCTTTCTGCTTACCACATTGAACAGCAAGCCTCCCATCGTTTTAAGAAAAAAGAGAAGCTTTCATGTATTACGAAGTGAATACCTCGCCAGATACATCACATCAGTGTTGAAAATTTTCTGCAAAAAGTTACAGACTGCAGTGGTTATTGGCGTCATTCCAGAAATGGATTGTTTGCAAGAGGCCGAAAGGAATGACTACGATTCAATTTGGATGTCAGCAATCGAAGCAAAAAAGTACACTTTTGACGAAGACCAGACCGTTTTTGTTTTCTCAAACATAGCAAAAGCGTGTTCAAAGGCCGCACAGGAATGGTACAAACAGCAGAATATTTCAGTTTTCATTTTTGTTACTGGGAATATCAAATTTGACTTACTGGCCTTGGGAATTTTCAGTGGATTATTGCCGAAAAAAACTGAAATAATAAAGCTTCAGTGTCCTAAAAGCTTTGAGATCAATATAAGTCAGTTCTTCAAAGACTTAAAAGAACAGATTGATAAAAAAGTCATCAAATCTTTGTCGTCCACGAATCTTCAATCAGTTGCATCATCGCCTACAGAGTCTTACTCAGTGCCGTATACACGCAAAGGTCTAATGGAATGGGCGGCCGTTCTTCTCAAGGATCTTATCGGCGGCGTATACATACAAGAACAGGTACGGGTAAAATTATCTATGCCAGTTTAGTTAAATAGCTTTTAAAAGAGATTTACTTGAGTTGTACCCCTAAAGGGATACTTTAATTTTAAGTAGTTAAAACAGTGGCGTGCATGGCAAAGTATTTAACCAGAATTATTGCAAAGTTTTATCAAAATGTTTCAGTCCAGCAGTTTTTCTTCTGAGTTCTTCGAAACCGTAGAAGAATCAGATTTGGATTTTTCGGAAAAAGTAAACGCTTAACAAAAAGTTGCGTTCTCATCAGTGCTCGATTCTCTACAAAAAAAAACATTTTCGATTGGGTTGAAGTATAAAAATCAGTTAATAAAAAAGATAATGATAGGAAGTGTAGAAAAGATTGAATATATTGCCCGAGATCAACATTCAAAAAACATCAAATTCAGATAGACTACTCATTCTGTATGATATTCAGTGTCACAGAATGAATATCTTTACGCAAGTTAGCTATATACTTGAGAGAGCTTCTATATCATGACAAGACTGCTCGTATGTCAGGGCGAAGCTCTGAATGTTCCGACTGCAATTTAAGACCAATTCTAAAGTTTGTAGATTGAAAGTTTGACGAAATAATAGAAAAATTTTTCTTGCAATTTTTTTTAAATTTGGTCTTAAAGTGCAACCGGAACTTCCAGGTTTATGCCCTGGCGTACGAGCAGTCTGGTTTGTCTTCTATTTATGTGTGCATTTGTTTTTATTTCAAGGAAAGTTTCTTTCGCTATCATATGTGCATCGTTTTAACTTAATCTGTGTAAATGATGATGCTAATGGCAAAAAGTGGTTTTGTTAACTCAATGAGTTTGAATAATTGACTGGCTGGCGAATATCTTTTCTTGTGAAAAAGGTACTCGAGTTAATTAATTTGTTTTTTGGTGCAACTGTTTCATTATGCGAACCTGTTTTCGATAATTTCCATCTGTTCTTCAAAATTTGCTGAAAAAGTTAGGCCGTTTCGGTCTTTTTTTCAAGTCGTATGTTTCTGTAAGTAAAATTCAGTTAGCATTACGAAGTCAAACTGTGCTTTTTGGGAAATGTAAGCATTTTCCGTATCAAGGACGCTCCCTTTGTTCTTTTTTGTTCATTCATTTTCTTTGATTGTTCCGACAAAATCCCGCATCGAGCGCCCATGGATTCTAATAGATTATAATGGGTTCCCGAGACAGAAGCAATCCATTATAATTCATTACAGATGTAAATTTTAGAACACGAATTTGATTAGATTGCCATTATAATCGATTATGTAAGAAAAAAAAATCCGTTATAATCCATTATTTTTGGAACTAAAATCGCTTATTTTTGCCAAGATAAATAATTATATTCGATAGTTTTTGAAATAAAAATCTATAACATTCCATAGTAATTGATAATGATACGTTTTATTTTCAGAACTAAATTAGATTTATTTTGCAGAAGTTTTGAAAATTTTGCAGGAAATTTGCAAAATGTATGCGATGTTTTATACTGAATGCCATGTCTCAAGGTCACCCCCTCAAGTGTTTTTACCCTCCCCCATCCAAAGAGAGAGAGAGAGAGGGGGGAGAAGGAGAGGGGATGAACTGGGGGTATTGTCAATCATAAACCCCCTACCCCAAAGTCTAGCAATAAACAATCCCCATGTTCAACCATAAAAGGGGAGGGGGCAAACAGCAGTTGCAGTAAGGGCGGGGGGAATAAACTGGGGGGTTAAAGTAAACTGGGGGGAGGGGGTAAAGTAGACTGGGGAGACTTCTATCATTAAATAATTCCACCCTCCTAACACCGTTCAGACCATACCCTCCCTCCCCCTGCAAAATGAAGTATTAAGCTGAGATGAATTGAAAAAGTAGAGACCAAAAAACATAAGTTTTAATATGAAATAAAGCTTTTTATGAACGTAATAAGTAGCAACTGCACTTAACAGGAAACGAGATAGCTTTGGAAAATTTGTAATTTTCATGAACAACCTCAAAAAAATCCATTGTAATCAATTTTAATTGATTATAATGGATTATAACCTCATAAAAATATGAGGATTATAATCCATTTTTAATCGATTATAATCGATTATTTTGTAACTTTATAGATACTGGTCATATTATGACAATATAATCGATTATGATCCATGAGCGCTCGGTGCGGGTAAAGACTTGTCTCTGGAACCCAGGAACATACAGACACAAAACTGTGCGCCTATCCAGTGCAGTTTGGCCTCGTAATGAGTTTTTAATACTTATCTTAAGCGTCCAATGTTTCTTGTTTGTATAAACTTGAGATTTTTCAGCGATGATTTCGGATACACATTTTATTTGGTTTTCACTAGACTTAAGCCGCATGACTTAGAAAAAGAGAATGGATATCAAAAAATTTTCATCAAATTAAAATTTTGCACGTTTTTGGTCTCATATCTCTAAAACTCATGCACGGAAAACCAAAAAGTTGAGTAAATATTCTGTTTGAGACGAAATGAGATAAAGTTGTTTTATTCTGGACTACCCCATATGAATAAACAACTAATATCCAACGCTGTCAATCACATTTTAACGGTCGAAACATAACACGCTGGTATTTAACTCAGCCGAAACGACAAAGTCTGGGGAGTCGAGCACTTCAATCCAAGTAGTTTCAACCCGAGTACTTCATCTCGTTTGTTTTTAAAGTATTTCTTTTAATCGAGGCTTCTAATGGATCTTTAAGGCAATTAAAAAAATTCTTGTGTTCCAGCAATATATTTCATGGGAAGAAATATACAATGATGCGTGCGATGTTCTTTTCCGAGAGTATCTTCGCCATTTGAATTCTGGTGACCGAAAAGAAGCAGTAGCTTGCAGGAAAGATGCGTCGGACTTGTTGACAACGATATCCATTTTTGTTTACAACCGAGTGGAAATACACATGGATTCTCAAATTCATTTTCTGTTTTACTCTGTACTGTATTCGAAATTTCCTCTAGTCTGGAACCCGAAACAATTGAAAGGATATAAAGTACCTGTCGATATATGCACTTATTCAAAGCAGAAGCTGCGACATAAACTAAGGTTCGTTGGTGATCTTAGTGAAATAGACTCTCGTTTGGCAACTGAGGAGAGTCTGGATTTGAGTGCGCCGCATTTCCTGGAGCAAAACATCAGGACGACCAGTCACATAAATCTGATGAGAAAAATGGACTTGATTGGATCTTACAACCTAACTCATCGGCAGGTACGTGCGTTTTTAAAAATATAGAAGAAGTTTTTTTCTAAAACGTGCCTCAATTTGTCTTTGCTCATCTGCGACAAAACGCGCAATTTACTTTTTCGACAAAACGCACATCTAAGCCAGAATGGCTCAGTTGATAACCGCTCCCTAATTTTTGTTTTTATGCCAATTTATGCCATTTGCCGTTTTTGGCATTTTATCCCCATTTCGATTTGAACGTCAGAAAGTTTCGCTCGATCTAGTTTTGTTTTATTTGCCCCAAATTCTATCGTCCAGCTTGCCATGCTCTGGTTATGATGTGTCGCAGTTGGAGCGAAGCTCTGCTTTGTTCAGTGTGTAACTCTTCAATTAAAAAGCAATAGGCAAGAGTATACTAAAAAATTAACTCTAGCTGACGCGATTATTTCAAAATTGAATGCAGTCAAGGCGTTTCACATGACTTTGAATTGTAATGTTTTCTGAAGATAAGTCGTTGATTAAAAATTCATCAGTTTTAGCATGAAGAATGGTATGTTTATGTAGATGAATAACGATTAGGGAAAAATGGTGGTCAAAGTGTCTTGTCCTGAAACTGTTTTTTTTTTCTCGGTTTCTTCACCTAGCTCCCTCTTCTATATTTAGATTTCTGATGAACTGAACGAGATAGACAGGAAAATATCAGCTGTCGAGTCAACAATCCTCGAATTAAAAACAAATGTTTTCGGTTTCTTGGAAGAATATAAAGTTATATCGAGCATGGAGACATCTGTTCGGGCCAGGAAACGCATCGAAATATCTGAAGTTTGTGCGGTTGCTGCACGCAAGTGTTTAGTTCAATCAACTGGTCTGCCCGCTCGATTTTTTGGTTATGAAGCAGCAGCATTTGCTATCAAAGGATTTCATTTGAATCCCTGCAACTCAGATTGCTGTGATATTCTGATGGAATTGTTCGAAATGGAGTTGATAGATGCAGTTGAGAAGAAAGAGCGATATTTGAACTCAGATGAAGGGACTGTTTTAAGAGAGCTCACGGAGAAAGACATTATTGCACTTCCTTTTATACAAGACAAGTTGTGATCATCAACTTAAATGATTTCTTTGCTGCAACCTTTACGACACTCTAAATAGGCTTTTTCAGATATCATGAATATATGAAAAATAGGCTTTTTCATATATCATGAATATATGAAAAATAGGCTTTTTCATATATGCTGTGCATATTGAAAATAAACAGACAATTGTTCAGCAGACAGGCCATTCAGCAGAAAATTGTAAAAAAAATTATCTGTGGAAAAGATGTTGACAGTTCATGTGCTTACTCGCGCTTGTCTGTGCACTAGGTTTTCCCTTTATAGCTCAATTTAAAACGTATTTTCTGATCTGTGCTTACAATGCCGTGCAGTTTTAATTAACATTTCTTTGACGTCTGTGCTTAAACAAAATCCACTACTCCTAAGATCAATATTTCTGATATTAATCTTTTTGATGCTTTTAGATTTAAAAATGAAAACTAATCTTTATATCGAAACAATTCGAACTGTCTGTAAAAAGGTTGAACTTAGAGAATACTATTGGGACGCAATGAAATTTATTTAGTTTTTTGATATGAAAGAAAGTATTTAGATGAAAATTTATTAAAATTGCAAATATATTCTCGCTTTATGACACATAATGTTCAAGCTCTTATTTGGTCATAGGATTTCTTCATCAAAAGGAGAAAAATTTAGCCGTATCAATGGAAAGTTCAAAAAATCCGCTTGCAATTAAATAAGGGAGGTGTAGGACTGGTGATACTAATATTTTTCATTAAACTAACAAATAGATTGGGAGTTTTACCTTGGGAATCGCTTTCAGTATAGTTAATTAAATGAGTAGAACTTGGCTTGGTTTTAGCTAATCAATACGATAAGTAGCAAAGTAAACAACGGTGGAGTAAAAAAAAAGTCGAGTGTTTGGAGAACTAGTCTTACCTCGATGAAGGGCAAGGTTGATGAAGGGGTAACCAAAAGTGATACCCTCCGAATCAGATCTAACAAAAATTATTTTATGAAATGCATAGGAATGATATTTGAGTTGATTCGACGCAGGCATACAAGATCCATACCCCTCGGAACCCCTTGGTCCAATTGAGAACGCTTCCTAGTAAGTACAAATTGCACTACAGGAAACCGGTGTCTAGCGGGGAGAATGGAATTAAAGTTAAGTGTGTGGTAGAATTAGGCAAGGGTTGCTTAAGTATGGAACCCCAGACCTCCTGGACACCTACTTCATTTGTTATGCTCTAAGTAAATAGACCCGACCGAAACTTTGTGATAAGATAAGTAGTGACAAGAGAGATAATTTATTATAGTCGTGAAGCAAATCCGACAGTCGGACAGATAGTTGTTAGTTTTTCGAGAAAAATGCCCCTTCTACCGAATTAGCTCAAAATTTTATCCGAGGTCATAATGATTTATTAGCAGCAATGGACACTAGACACTAACCCGAAAAGACTCCAGTGGTTCGAATCCTCCAGCGACTTCTTCCTGCGTTAATAACCTTATTCCTGGAAAAGTGATAACGGACCTTTAAAATGGGGTAGCTTGTGAAATATTACTGAGTTAAAAGTTGATGAAATTTGTTCACTAGGACCCCTATGAGATCCTAAATCTGTCCAAGGAAGTTTGAACCCTGGGTGACCTGAAATTGACCTTTGACCTCATGAACATTATTGCATGAAAATTCCGAAAAATTAGGAGCGGAACAAAAGGTACCTCTAAATAAAATTGGGGGTCTTGGAGCATACAATTTCTCTTTTTTTTGTTAATAGTGTTGGAGTACTTGATTGAAATAAATTGAAATAATTGAAATGGATTAGGCAAGCATTGGGTTAAATTTAGCTTAGCGAACGCGCTTTTCATAGAATTACGACCAGAACGCAGAGAAGCAGTCGCACAATGGTTAGCTTATATCTGAGAGATATATGAGATATATATGAGGAGAATGGTTATTAGGAAAATCAAAGTATAAGAACAGACTGCCTTTAATTAGCTTCTTCGAGATAGAGTTTGACCGATTTGACGGAAATTTTACAGAAAGTGAAAACATGAATCGAAGCAGAATTTTTCAGCATTGTCAGTGATAACAACAAAAGTTCTGTTTCCGACTTCTTTCATTATTTAAGAACACTGCGTCTAACAAGATAAGTTTGAACCTGCCAAAGTATGCTAAATTACCATCTATAAACGAAAATGCGTCTGCGTTGAGCAATTGCTTCTTCGTTGTTCATGATACCTCTGCGATGTTCAGTGTAGCAACCGCATTGTAAAAATGATTCCGCGTTGTTCAAGATTGCAGGACCAACTACGAGACAGGGCACAAGACAGGAAGCACAAGGCAAGAAAACGTACGGCAAGACAGGGTAGCGCAAAGCATGGCAGCAGAAAGCAGGACAGGGCAGCGCAGTTTAAGGCAGAGCAGCGCAAAGCAGCGTAGGGCAGCCAAGGCATGGAACTGAAAAGTAGAGCAGCACATGACAGCGAAAGGCAAACAGGGCACCACAAGCAAAGCAAAGGAGTCCAATGCAAAGCAATCTAGGGCATCGCAAGGCAAGGCAAGGAGAGGCGAGGCACCAAAAACAGAGCAGAGCAGGGCCATCTATATATCTGTCTAATCATACATCCACTCATGTAATCATCCATCCATCCATAAACTCCTTCAGCTATCTCTCTATCCATGCATCGAACCACCTGTCTCGTAACTACCCATCATTCATCGAGTCATTCATTCAGCCGTTCATCCATCCAAGCAGCCGTCCATTTATCAATTCAAACGATCGGTTCACTCATTTAACCATTTGTTATGCGAACGATCCAACCATCATCCATCCATTCAGTCAAACACCTATAACCTATCTAACCATTCATCCATCACTCAAGCCATCCATCCATCTGACTATCCATCATCTGTCCATCCAATTAAATAGCAATCTATCACACCATCCATACAGCAAGCGACCTATTGTTCATCAATTGAAACAACCTTATGCTCAGCCTTCCATATATCCGCCCATCCAACCCCTCAGTCAACAATCCAACCAGCGACCAGCCATGCATCCAGTCATTTATCAGTTTATCCGTCCTTTTAGCTATCTATCTTTTATCAAGCCGTCCATCCATCTAACCAGCAAGCCATCTATTCATCTATCAACCCATAGTGCAGCCATTCAAACTATCTATCTATCTATCCTTTCATCCATCCAACCAGTCATATATTCGTTCATTCAGTGTCTTTTGGTCAACCCATCTATACATCTATTCAATTATCAACCCAACTATGCAGCTTTCCATTCATTTATTCAGTGATCCTTTAAGGTTTATTCCTCAAAACATTCTTTCAGCCACCCGTTTGTCTAACCATATTCAAAACACCATCCAGCCATCCAGCTTTTTGTTCAAAATCAGTCATTCACCGATCCATCTTATCATCTAGCCATCTAGCCAGGTTTTCGTCCATTCAACCATCCGTCCACTGATTTATCAATTCGGCCACCCATTTATTCAATCATCTGAGTTTGCGAATGCTGCAAAACTCTGAATTTGATTCAAAACTTTTTCATTTAAGATATTGGTAGCCAATTTTCAGGAACAGCTTTGCCTGCAGTGGATACGAATTTTATTTGACAAGTGGTTGATCGGAGATAATTTTCTGGATCAAACTTGTTGGAGGTTGTCAGTGCCTAGTGTAAGAAACTTCAAAGCAAAATCTCGAACAAAATTTTTCTATGAATTGCAAGTCCTTTAACTTCGATGATGAAAACCTCAGTTTTCAAAACCGAATTGTCCAAAGAAGTTTAGGAGGAAGCAAACAAAAGTTCAAATGTTGAAATTCAATCAATGAGTCTCGAGACTGAGAAATATGCATTGGATGTTTTAAAATAATTTCTCGACGTAACCAAGTAGAAGCGTTCTTAGTCATGTAAAAGCTTCTAGCCAGACTGGCTAATTTTTTTCATCTAAAAACTTCGTAGAAAGGCCTACACGTTTTATATGGGACTATTTTCTAAGACTTCTCAACATATTTTGGGCTATTAAACCTATAGTTTGGCTGCCAATAAGAAAAGTGAAAGAAAATTTTCACATGTACGAAACTTCATAAAATAGTTCCACTGTCCATAATCCCAAAAACTCACCTATGCTGAAGTCTGAGACTCATTTCCAGACTTTGTGGTCGCACCGCATCCGAATTTTGGCCTAAATTGCATAGTAGCGCCGAGAATTTGATTTTGCCAAGTCTGAGTTTGAGTCGTGTCGGTGGTCGCGAAAGTCTGGGCATGGGTCTTGAAAGTATTGACACACATTTTCAGACTTTCGTGACTTTATTACCAGACTTTTGCGACCAAGTTTTGGTATGTCCAGATGTTCGCGACTTCTGTACAGACTCTCCAGACTTCAAGTCCAGACTTTCCAGACTCAAGCTCTCGACGCAAAGAGTCAATTTCTCCAGCCTTTGTCTGGAAAGTTGCGCCGTATCCATTTTGGTCGCGAAATCCATCTCGGTCGCAAAGTTTGCAAAAAATCGTTTCTTAATCGCGCCGTCTTAACCTTTGTCTTGAGGTCGCGCCGTCTCAGCTTTGGTCTGGAAAACTCGCCGTATTCTATTAGCCTTGACCTGGAAAGTGGCGCCGTCTCCGGTTTGGTCGCAAAAGCTGCGCCATATACACCTCAATTGCAAAGGCTACGAAAAATTTGTAGTGTTAGGTATAGCGTTTGCTAGGGTACAATAAAAATCAAAATTATGTTTCATCATGAAAACCCATTTTTTTTGTTTTGAGCAACATCTCTTGGACTATTCAACAATATCTTCTATTTTAAAACAAGACTACTGATTTTTTTCTTGATTACAATAGCATCAAAAATACTCTTTAACAGCTACGTTATTCTCTACTCTCAGTCATTTTTTGCCCTTTATGTTATTTGATTTCATGCTTTTTCAAAAACGGGGTCATCGAAACACTGAAGCTGATCAATCCCCAATAAAAAATTTTAATCAATAAGTTTACATTGAATCATATTGGAATCTTTTGTATTTAAAACTTAACTAAAATGACTAAAAATCTGTTATCAACTTCATTAAAAGCTGCATACAACTCGAACTCGAGCAACAGAAACGAGAAGATAGATAGCCATTCTATTTTTTATTATTATTGAAATATGCAATGGAACGCGTTTTCTTGTTCTAGAAAATATTGCTATCCGGTCAAAAAAATGTACCAGCAGGCATTTGGACGACTTTTGAACACGTTTGAAATGCTTTTTGAAAGACTTTCGTAAGTATCGAATTGAAAAATGCCTAAAATGAAAGCTTTCAAAAATTTGTTCGATTTTTTAAGGTCACTTAATCGTATTTTTCCACTTCATAAAAAATAGCATAATAATTCAACGCAGCCCAATTGTTCTAAACACTAGGGAAATTTTGAATAGTATGATTACAAATGACGCATGTTGCCGTAAGTTTGTACTTGGAAGTGAAAACTGCAATTTTTTGTCATCATTTGCTTTGTAAAATCAATTGATTTTAAAAGATAAACTTTCCAAACTATGGCCAAACTCGATCTCTATTATTGGCAACAGTTCAATCAAATTACAAACAACAGTTCAATCCAGCTTAAGTCCAGCTGCTAAAATGCTATTACTGAAGGAATGAATACAGAAAGAGTTAACACTTCTCCAATCTAAAATAAAGAAACAATGAAAACTGACTGAAATAAGCTAATTTGTGCATGATTCATGAATAATTTTTTCACTTCAATTTGGCCTTCATCTCAATTTTATCAAATTTTATTTGTGCAAGATTTTTTCTATTCCCAATTTCAATTCGTGTTTTGAGGCAAATTAAATACAAAGAATTTAGAGATTAGATTTAGAACAGCAGAAATGTTTGAATTGAAATTTTTATATGCTGATAAAGCAACACAAATATGTCAGATTTAAAAAAAAATGCTCCAAATATAGAGATTTAACCCCAGCCAAAACTCTCTAATCACAATTTTGATTTTGGGTTTTTCATTTTTTATTTGACGTGGTTTCCTAAAACAGCCGGCTGGGAAACCTAACCCACATACTAAGCAGTACAAATTTAGTTAACCAACCATTTAAGATTTCTAATTGGATTCCACAGACAATTGTTATACCCTTGCTTTTGAATTCCGCCTTTAGTAGATTTTACTTTTAGCTATAGTTATCAAACTTTTGCTGAAGAACAGGTTAGTTGAGTATGAACAAAACTACTGAATAAACTTATGTTTGCGAATTCCGCTTACATTTTGCGAAATCCACTATGTTTGCCGAATTCAGAAAAACTAGCTATGTTCGATAGTTACGAAACCCGCAAAAAAACCTATATGCTGCCAAAATTTATGTTGCTGTTTTACGTTATAAGTATTTGTGCGCGGGATCCACGGAAATGTTGTAAGTAAAATACATGTCCACTTCGGTACGTGTTGAAAGATTTGTCTCTGGATTGTCTCTGCGCCTATCCAGTGCACAATTTGGCCTCGTAATGTGGCCAGCAAAATAATTGTAAATATTTCGTAAACCATTAAGGTTGGATAACCCTGCATGAGGCCTGCGTACAGACTAAAAGCAATCAGATGAAAAGTTTTGGATAAAAAGTTACCGTTTTTTTCTGCATCACGGAGCCGCAGCTAGTTTTCAATTGTTTTGTGCAACATGTTTCGGATCTTTCGGTTCTCTGAACCTGCCCCTTAGCCATTCAAATTGTCTCCCCCATTTGTTACCCCCTAGCTAAAAAACAAACCTTTAAGGCATTGGCATGATTTAAAGGCAAATATTTACCCCAATTGAATTGTTTTCGATGTAACTTTACAAAGGGGAAACAAACTAGAAAAAAGTCAAAACCTCAATTTTTGAAAAAAAAATTCGAATTAATTCTGTACCAAAATCTATTGTTTTTTTTATGTAGTGAAGCGACAGTCGAAACATTGAGGCTCCATTCTGATACGTCAGTCTTTTTTTTCTATGAAATGTTTTTAAACAGTCGAATTCAAACGTGGGTCAAAGTGTAAAACAGCCATCGGCTATTTTTCTCATTTTCTTTTTCCGGTCTTTTTTTTCTCCTTGAGTTTCAGTTTTAAAAAATTAATTTTAAATTGTCATCATGTGATGAACTGTTGCATGGTGAACAAACTAACTATTGAAAACACATTTTTTTTCATACATTGCTTCGTAAAATCACGCGTTCAGCCATAATAACACGTAAAACAGTTGAAAAAAAGGAAAATGTGGGGATGGGATAGATAAGAGCCCATTTTCATCACTTGCAAACTTTTTCAAGTAAAATTGGTTCTCACAATATTTGATTATTATGAATAATGACATGCGAACTAAATAATCCATGACTAACATGTTTGGTCTTCATATTTAACCTTGTGAAATTACTCGTTATACCAAAAAATTAACGCACATGTGAGATAGGAGGGAAAAAGAAAAATAGCCCAGTTTTTAAACAATTTTTTGTTATTTTACAAGGGGAGTGAGCAACTGAAAGAGCCATGTTCTCAAAAAACTTTTTCGATTTATTTTTGTATCAGAATTGTTTTTGTTGATTGTTGGAACATTCAGGCTCCACCTAGATACAAACAGTCTTCCTACAACGTTACAATATTTTTCAAAATCAAAATTTCATGTGGAAAAGAAAGTGTAAATAGCTTTGGTGTCTTCTGCCTACCCAACCTGACATAAGCATCAATTCATTGGCGTAACCAGGGGTTTTATAAGATTATATATGAATATCCAATCGTTCGCGGTTGCCTAGTTAGTCAGCATACTCATATTTGTAACAATCGAACAATGTGAACAAAAACAAAAATTGAATGGTACAAAATCACAGGTGGGGGAGGGGGAGGAAAAAGAGCCCAGACTAGTTTACCAAGCTATGCTAACTTTATTAAGCATTCAGTCAGTCTATTGGGCTCTTTTTCCTTTTTCAGCCACCTGCAAATTTTTATATTTGAAGTTACTGTTCACTTTGTTCGATTGTTATGAAAATTGACAGGCAGACTAATTAGGCCATGAAAAAGATATTTGGTCTTCATAATTTACCTTGTAAAACCACTCGTTAGACCATAAACTTCATGTTTAAGTGAAACTTGACACGGCGAAAAATTGTGAACAATTTTTGTTCATACCTTGCATCGCATCATTACGAGTTAAGAAATAATAGCATGTAAAGCAACTATAAAAATAGAAAACTTGAAAGGTATGGGGAAAGTTGAAAAGAGCTCTCAATTCACTTCTTAAAAATTTTGCCTGAAATTTCTATATTACTTTTTCTTGAGTTGAGGTTAAAATTTGCACGTGATTCTGGTGGTTGACTTCTGAACAAGCCGCCAGTCTATAGGTTAAAACACCAAGTCGTATCAATTCTGGAGACCAGTAATGCACCTGTAAACTAAGTGGCATCAGTTATTTACTCTTTCTTGGGCATAAAATTTCACTTTTCCCATTTCATTACCTCTTCAAACCCCTCGAGAATTAGTAACACACCGCTTGTAGCTTCGGCTCTCTTCCAGTCAATCTCTTTTTTACTGTAATTAATGCTGAGGTTTTTTTCCTACGTATTTTTTGCGAGTGTGTTTTACAGAAAATCATGATTACCACAGATGGCGCAGATGGAGCAATTTTTTTGAAGGTTTTTGTCTTAGTTTTTTTAACTATGAGGGTAGAAAGGGAAAAGGTGATTATAGGCGTCTAGTTGCCCCCTCGGGTTAGTTCTTGTTATCGGTTAGTAAGCACTGTAATTATGAGTCAATCCATTAATATTCGGGTGGTGTGCCGCGTTCGGCCTCTGAACAAGATAGAGTTGGACAAGGGGGAGGAGGAAGCTTTGGAGTATCCGAACAAGAACCAAATCAACACTGTCAAAAACCCCAAGGTACCCATCGTGCAAGCATTAGAACACATGCATTACAATTGTTGTTTATTATTTTTTTAAAATCTCTCTTCTTCCATGCGAAAGTGGTTAAAACTGCTGCAAGTATTGCAAGTCGGGGGGGGGGGGGGTTCGAGGTCCGCGACTCATGTCCAGACTTTCGCGTCAAATTTATGGCATGTCCAGACTTTCGCGACCGATTTGAGGCATGTCCAAACTTTTGCGACCGAAACCTGGCATTTCCAGACATTCGCGACTAAATTGATCCGCCGCAAAATACTAACATGAGTAACCGGTTGCTGTGCAAGTAGGACAGAACCTTCCGACCATATTCTGAAAAAATATATATTTTCTTTTTTCAAACTGAAGTCATGATTTGTAGGCGCTGTAATAAGAAAACTATACAAACGTGTAGAAAGACGGTGAGTTAGGCATAAGTGATATCAGTTTTCGGCTCTTGTTCCTTTTCCCCACCTCACACAACCATCAATTTTATGGTGTAACAAGATTTTACAAGGTTAATTATAGTGTAACAGTGGTTTTACAAGGTTAATTATGAAGACCAAATATGTTTGGCACAACTTGCTAAATCCGCATGTCAATTTTCATAACGACCGGACAATGTGAACAGTAACTTTACTAGTAAAAATTGCAGGTGGTGGAAAAGAAAAAAAAACATTTGTCTAAAACAAATTTGAGTAAGCGAAAACCAAATAAAAGTTTTTAAAACAGTTTTTTCCAATTTTTTTTTAAGAATAAATTAAAAATATTTTCAAATAAAATATTTTCCTTTTTGTTCCTATGACAAAAAGGACGTTCGGGAAAAACTCAAAACAACAACTGAATTCAGAGCTTACAGAACAATCTGTAACAGTTTTTCCCCATAATTCGAACGACTCTTTTTCAGCCATAGGTTTTCACGATTGTTTAGCAACTGCGGAAAATGGGCATTTGAACAACTATCTTCAAACCGAACGTTTTTGTGAACAATTCAATATATCATTATTGCAATAAGTTGAGGCTGCACAGAAAGAAATTTCATCAACTGCGGTCAATAAGCAAATTTGAGCAAAAAACGAAACAAGAGTTAATTTAGTTCAAGTTTTAGTTCCTAAGGTTAAAGGGTTTTCTTAGTTTTGAGTAACATTTTTGCTAAAAACTCACCCAAAAAGTTCTCAATGAAATGACTACATTATGAAAACAGACGCATAGTTAGCCGCGCTAAAATCCTCCGCCCCCAAAGGAGCGAGAACGGGTGCCAGTTTCACGGTCGGACGGGTGTACTCGCCGGTTTCCGACATAATTACGGCGAACCGCGCTATGTCGTCATTACCGCAGTTCATTGACTTGATCGCGCTAACGGGTAACGGCCTCTCGGTCTATTGTCCTCAATCAACCAAACGACATCTCCATTGTTCAAGTGTGATTCTGGAGAAGAAAACCAATTCGCTCGTTTGTTAAGCATTGGAACGTACTCACGGAGCCAACGAGTCCAGATGGCTTTTGCATAGAATTGCGCTCGGAAGTAGCGCTTCCGATGATTTAATTTCGCTTCGAGATTGTTCGGATCAGAGGATACGAGTGTGAGCGGACGGTTGCTCAGAGGCTGCTCAACTAAACAAAAATTGTTATGCGGACTTCCTCAGTGAGTTTTCTGGTTCCCAGAATATCATAAAAAAACTCTTTTGGTGTTTTGGACGAGCCTTTTCCCCACACCTCCATGATGAAGAGCACTGGGTGGATTGGATTTCCAGGCTAGGTTTTTATGAGCGAGCAGAACAGGTGCATATCGATTCCGGTTCTCGATGCACGAAATCAGCTCTTTGGCCGAGTCAACAAAATTCGTGCCATTGTCCGACCAGATGACGGAAGGCGTTCCCCGCCGAGCAATGAAGCGTTCTATTCCCATTACACAGGAACTTGTATCCATTGACAAAACAACCTCGAGAGGAACGGCGCGTGTCGTCAAACACGTAAATAAGAAGTCTCAGCGTTTCTCTGAGCTTCGTCGAATCGTTACGTGGAACGGGCCGAAGTAATTTACTCCGCAGATCGCGAATGGCGGTTGTCGGTAGCCCAGTCGCTCGAGTGGAAGGTCAGCTATCATTGGCGTAATTATCTCAGCTTCTTGTTTCCAGCATAACCCGCAATGGTGTTTTATTGAACAGAGGGCAGTACGGAGCCCCAATACAATGCACTTCAATTGTATAACAGCACGCAGATAATCAACACTTTGGTGATCGTTCTTTCGGTGAATAAAGGTTAAACGCATCATCACGAGTAGATGTCGGCTATTTAAAATGATGGTATGCTGAACATTAAATTCAACATATACGAGACGGCGAATACGGCCAGTGGAACGGACGAGACCACCGGGACCGATGAACATCGAAAAAGAAGCTATCCGGCTAGACTTTTAAAGGGAATGTTTTTGTGAAGTGCGTTGACTTCGACGGGGAACGACTCTGATTGAGCCAGAACCAATAGCTTTTGATTAGCTAATTCTAAATCAGATAGTTCCGTTGTCGAACGAGTGTTGCAATTTTGACGGTGATGAGGTGATAACATCAGCATGAATGCGGCGACTTTTCGGAGTTCCGGAAAAGAACTAAAATTTTTCCAAGTAAAAACTGGATCGTTGGTTTTCGATGTGCAAATGAAGTTTCCAGCTTTTACAATACCTTCATTTAAATCATATGAAGGTCCTTTGAATCGAAAGCTGGTGAGAACTTCTGAGTCAGGTTTACAAGGCCAGTCTTTGTTTTTCAAAAAAATGGACGTTCCACCCAACCGCTTTCTTTCAGAGCCTCAGCAGTTTTTCCGCGAGTGCCAGTATTTACTGGATTGCGCCACTGGACACATGGAACCTTCATCAAATGTGGTGGATTCGAGAATTTTGGAAACCTGATTAGCCACAAAGAGAGGCAACTTGCTGGTAGTGTTCAACCACTGCAGTACAGTAGTGCCATCTGTCCACATGTATAAGCTTTCGATTTTTATATCTAAAGATTTTTTGATTTGAAGTCTCAGACGGCTCGCCAGTAACGCTGCTTGCAATTCAAGCTTAGGGATTGAAAAAGTTTTCATCGGTGCTACTCTAGTTTTTCTGAAAACAAAAAAATTTGGCTTCATTTGTTACGACGGAGCGACCGCGCAGGAAAGCAACCGAGCAAAATACGTTCTGTGAGCTGTCACCAAACATATGTAGTTCTATTTGGTCAACTGGTGTGTCGAAAATTGTTAGTCGGCCAAGTATTGGTAAACCAGTATGCCACTCTATGAATTTTTCTTGAATTTCAGCTGATAATGGTGAATTTCGGTTATTATCGCCGTGAACTTCTAATGGTCGAATGGCGTGATAACAGCCATGGCCTATAATAATTTCTATGTCAGAGTATTGGTACGTCAAGGAAGGCACTGGAGCTAAATGATGATAATCTTTTTAAAGTTCAATGACCTTGATAGTATCACACCCTGAGTTTAAATCTGACTTCACAAAAGGTCGTGCGTGGAAATTGTATGAATTGGATTCAATATTACCAAAATTACTACATCTACTCGTTCCGTCATTAAAACTTGTTGTGACTTTTTTTTCACTGACGGTCAGGCTCAACATTTCCCCGGACAATTTAGGTTTTGCAGCAAGTTGAATGAAAATCCATGATTGACTGCAAGCTGAATCACAGAGAACAACAGTATTAATGCTGGTTTTCTTACTGGACAACATCAATTCAATGATTTGAAGCAGACTTTCAACACGGAGAACAGAGGTGGCGCAAGTACCTTTAACTGTATCCACTTCGAGACTACCGGAATGCGAAGAGGTGTTTCCTCCTGTTGTTATTTTTCGTTAATTTCCAAAATTACTAGTTCTACTTGTTCCGTCGTCAAAAAATGTTGTGAATTTATTCTACTGACTGTGAGGTTCATCTTTTTACCGGACAACTTAAGTTTTTCAGCAAGTTGAAGGAAAATCTTTGGTTAACTGCAAGCTGAATTACAAAAAACAATAGTATTAAAGCTGGTTTAGTTACTGGACAATTAATCTTCAACGTTTTGAAGCAGACCTTTAACACGGAGAATGGAGGTGGCGCAAGTACCTTTAACTGTTTTCACTTGCAGACTAATGGAATACGAAGAGATTTTTCCTTCAGTTGGAGTTTTTGCGGGGTATAATTTTTCGGCTCCGTAATGGAGCGCATTGTGAGTTCTAGACTTTGCGCATTTTCGAAAAGTATGATCCGGTTGCAGTCAGGAGAAACAAAATTTCTGCTCGGCAGCAAACTTTGCTCTTTGAGAAGGAGTTTTCTCTTTGTAGACCCTTCATCACAAATGGCATGTTCGCCGTTGCAAACAACACAGGGCGGATACTGTTGATAGGGCTTTTCGTCGAACACTTTTGAATTAGACGAAAAAATTTTGTTAATGTTTTAGAAGGGCCAGCGTTGGCCAGGTTTTCCTGATTTCGATTCTTGGAGTGTTAGCATTTTAGGTTTCACTATGGTAGAAGTGAAACTTAAAATGCTGTCGGAATTTTGCATCTTCAATGGTAGGAAACAATTTAAATTGTCAAGATGAGTATTAACTACCGTTTGTGGCCGGCCAAATTTCCGAATAAAAGTGTTCAAGCCATTTTTTTACATAACACTAGAATACGCAAACTCAGCTATGGAATTTTTGGTTTTCCGAGTCACAAAAGCTTTCAGGTGTGTCAAATTGACGTCATCACGCAAACAGGCGGAATCGACAGCGCTTACAAACTGGCCGAACTATTTATGCCAATGTAAAAGATCACCGTTGTTTTGAGACAATTTACATTCTCTTAACGAATCTTTATGGTTCATGGTAATAATCTCAGCGAAGCAAATAATTGAATGCGCCATCTCGGGGATCCGTAAACTGATAGTCAGACTCCGGCTGGTAGAAGACGGTTCTACCACTGGTTAATGGAGAGTTCGTATTCGTATAAACAAAAGTCGAGTTTAGCACGTTTCTAATTTTGA